AATCCCTGTTCAATGTCAGTTAATGCATACCGACATCCAAAATATTCACAAATGCAGCTTATATATATATATATATGCAAGTGCCACAGATGACTGCTAAGATAGAGTCATTTTTTAAATTGCATTGTGGGTGTACATTGTATTAGGGTTAGTGCTTAGTTGTTAAAGTTGCCAAAATAAAATCAAGGAATGGTAAGATAATCTGACCATAAAAATGTCAATTGCATTTTATTGTGACATACATATTTTAAAATATTATATAGGTATTTTATGTTATGCGCTCTTTAGTTCATTTTAAAACTACATCAAAAATACGAACAGAAAACAATCGTCTTTTTTATTATCATATACATATATGCTTTCGTATAAAGTATATTATGTTATTGTTATACTATCTTCTATACAATCTTAAATTCAAGATGTTTATTAAAAAATACTAAATTCCCAATAAAATAAAATTTAGTTTTTAAAACTAATAATTAATATTACTTCTAAAAATTGTTTTGTCAATATATTTTTTATATAATTTTGCATCCTTAAGCAACATCATATTCTTTCATATATATTTTACATAGCCGTTAAAAACTATTACACATAAACTTGCTATAGACTTAACTACGTTCTATTTTTCTGCGACAATTTTATTGCGCTGTAATTTTTTGCAGGTTATCTGCAAATCTATGTTCCATAGTTAATCCTTGCAATAAAAGCTCTACAGGAAGAAATGACATGCACGCATACCCATGCATGTTTAATATTTACCTCCTCCTGTTTAAAAATAAACAAGTCCTTTCAATGAACCATGTCCTCCTGTTGTGTCTATTTATAGAAAACCATTCATGTTTTTTTGTATACACACTATTAATTATTTTTTACTATTATACACCACCAACAGCAGCAGCACCACTAATAATAATTCTTTTTCACTTGTTTTCATTTCAGGTCGGAACGTTCTATCGTGCGTGTATCAATTTATCAAAGTAGTAAACCGCAACAAATTTGCCCTCCCGATTATTTTTCGAAATTCGAAGATAATTTAGATAATTCTTTAAGTAACTATAATTGTAATTTAGACGACATAATGACGACAGCATCGCCAATTCCCGGTTATGACAGACAGCAGAGGTATGTTGTACAATATAATTAAATAAAAATGTTGATCTAAATAATATTTTTCCTATATATACAGCACTGATTCTGGCTGGGATAATCCTTTTCGCCCTGGTGGCGATTTATCCAGAGAGGCTGATGAAATTGTTAAAATGATTAGTGGTAAGTATTTTATGTTTATATTCCAATAATTTTCGAAGGATTTGTTTGCAGATTTTCACACTATCCACCTCATTAGTTTTTATGACGATTTTGAAATGTTGAGACCATTAGGGTTTGAAATTGTCTAGGTTATTATCATTCCGGGAAGCGATGTTACGTAGATTCCAAATATATTGATGTGCATACACTTCAACAATATTTTATGGACTTGTATTTCTACCGCATAATGCCAAATCTTATAATAGATAGGAATATGGGAATTTTATACTATAAACATCATGGGGTAAAATGGTATCTGATTGGGTTAATTTTTGTATATAAGAGATATTCTAAAAAGGCATTAGAATATCTGTTACAATATATTTGCTTTAATCAATGGCATTTACCATTCTCATCCAATGTTCGATGAAATGCAACACAGTTGAAAATGCTGCTATATCAACAATGAAAACATATAAAAATTGGCGGATCATTTTCATGTGTAAATTTATATTGATACATTTTTGAAAAATCTCCCCTCCAAGGACCAAAAATATAGAATTACAGCCACTTTGATTGCGCCAAAAACTTCAAAATACGGAAAATGAGGTGGTAACGATATAACTCATTTCCAATATCAAACATCCTAGGATCAGTAGCAATGTATGTCCAAATTATCTAGTATCTATTTAAAATATTGTATGCTCTATTGTGATTTTAGCGGACAGACGGGAATAAATTCGCAAAATATATGACAAATTTAATATTCTCAGTATTAATCGTTCGTCTATATGTAGTTTAAATAAAATGTGTGAAGATATTCTGTGGTGTTAAAACTCTTATATCATTTTAGTCATTTTTTAATATTTAATTTAATATTTAATTTTTAAGTAGAAGACAGTTTTTCGTTGTATTATATTAAATGAATTATTCCAAAACATAATATCTTTTTTATATTTGATTATTAAAGCGCACAACAAAGAGACACTCAGATTTAAGCGTCTGTCCGTGTGGCTATATTCTCGCCTCTTTATTTTGTTTAACTATATTTGATTAACTGGCAAAATACACGTGATATCTATCAATATACTTACCTATGAAGAGCTCATTTCAAAAAGTAGATACAAAATCTTCCCACTCTTCTTTGTGTTCTATTGGCTGATGTCATTATTACCTGTTCAAGGTTTTCGTAGGACAATTTAAATCAATTTAACTGTCCTACGAAAACCTTGAACAGGTTAGGAAAGCCTCATCAAATAGTATTTACGTTTCACAGGACACCTATAATTAGTTTTCGACGTTTTGATTGTTTAAGGTATGTTTTAATGGCGAAGTTAATCATTCAAAAAAATCGCATACACACACGTAATATATGGGTGTACGTATTATAATATTGACATAATAAAATGAAACAAGTTCAAAGGTCTATTTTGGAAAAATCATTATGTTCGTTGCTATATGTTTGAAACTTGTGAATTCGTTATTCAAAATTAATGGATTTCTATAAATGTATAGGGGCAAATTTATTCCCTGTGGTTATGATGGTGATGGCTTACAATAGATTCCGGGAGTAGTTGTGTAATTTGTACGAGAACTAATTTTCTACAATAAACGAACTATAGAGATTGTTTCCTTGTTATACCACTATTAGAAAAAGAATCATATGCAATTTTTTTTGGCAGAGTAGTGGAAATGACACTCGAAAAGACAAATTGTATCTTTAACAAACAAAACATGTAAAAAGGAGTCAGTCGGTGTTGCCGACTGATATTCCCCATCTCCGAACTTGAAATAAATCGGTTACTCGTGTGCACCAATCGTAATAGGAGTGGCAAAAGGGCTACATATTTTTTAAACGATACATTTATTTTTAAATAAAACACAGAGAGGCAAGGGTATGGTGGATACAACGAAAAGCTTGAAACATGTGGACATAAAAAATCATTATTATAACATTTAGAAAATATACATGTAACAACTTGTATTTTTTGTTTAATTACAGGAGGTAAACCGATAACACCCACAGAAGATCATGCGATAGGTAATGGAAAGTCACAGAGTAATGGTACTAGCAATGGAACAGTCGTTACCGAAGATATAACAAAATCCAATGTGAGATTAAATAACAAAATGTTCCTGTCACAAACTTTTTTAAAACTTCCTTTTGTTCTTATTTCCCGTATAGGTATCGCAAAATCAGTCCGCACAAAATGGTACAAATGGTTCTCATAGGGTGCAACCAGCGGCAACAGCAGCAGCTGGAGCAGGAGCGGTAAAATCATCGGAAAACAATGGCGTTACATCTCTAGCTCAAGTCTCAAAGCAAGTGGTACCTGGACCTACATCGGCTAGTCATGTTGTCATAGACGAAAAGAAAAACAAGAAAAAGGGCTGTTGTATTATCCAATGAACCAATGCAGCACTTCACAGACAAAACTTTACAATGCTGTTGATAGTGATGGGAATGAAAAGGCGACCGGATGATACGCATGAATTTGGCATCGTCGACGTCGACTATGATGCATCTCTTAGCATGCCAATTTGTTTATGTATAGAAAAACAAAACTATATTATATTATATTCCTAATATATTTTTTACTAAGCATATTTATTATTTATATATTATACCTACTATATTTTGCGAGAACGTCAACGGCAGCAGCGACAACAGTCGCATACAATGAATAGCAACAATGTGTAAAATCGACGTAGTAGTGTAACCAGACAAAAAAAGAAACCACTCAATCAATGAAATCAGCGAGCTGGAAAACAGCCTCTCACTGAAATCGAAATCGATTCGAATCGATGCTGAATTTACATGTAAGCTAAATATGACAGACCGACGTACAGACGTACATAGATATATGATGTATATGTACGTACAAACGAGATAAATAGTGTACGAATCGATTGAAATGAATGTTTTAAATGATATTTTTGTTAATCACACTCCCCTTTTTGCAAATTTCCAAACAAATGGCCCTATCTGTCACACCTGTTGTGTAATTTTTTATATATTTAGACAACTTAAAAATAGGAATGAAATGAATCGGTCTCAGTGTACACACATACAAAAATAACACTGTGTTAGTAGTTTTTTCAATTGTTTTATAAATATATACTCGTAATTATATTTAAATATTGTAATGAATATGTTCATTCATTTCGCGTCTTTGACAAGTTTCTTTTTTATTTTGTTTATACCTTCAAATGTCCGTATGCAAAAAACAAAAACCAACTCAACATACATCCAATAAAATTCGCATTTAATAGCCAACAGTACCAGTCAAACGATTTATGCACCTAAAACACACTCATCTGCGCTTCTCTATCAGTTTCAAGTATCAAAAATCTGCTGAAAAGATCCCATAGTGTATCTTCTGTTAGTTGAAATTGTACATGCATCCCTACATAACTATATACATATGTATTTGATCGCAGGATATATTACAAAGCGTATAGAGGCAAGCCGTATAACAAACAACCCTTTCCGTCAGTGATCATATCCACGACAACAAAACACAACCCGAACAAACAAACCAACAATCAAAATATCAACAGCCAGCTGTATATGAATATAAGTATGTATGCAATTAGAACATACATATGAGATAAAACATTATGTCTTACATAGAAGTAATACATGTATTGCGTATATTCATATACCAACCGAACATTGCATATTACCTACATATAGTACATTTATATAACCACCATTACCACAGCCACCATCACCACCACCCAACCACATACATATATATTTATATACAAAGATGTATGTTTATGACGAGCACAAGCAGACAAGCCAGCAAACAAGCTACAGCATATTATAAACCAAGAGAAAATGTAACAAAACAAACAAAATTCAATATTTAATATTGTAAATTTCAAAATTTATGTTAAGTTATGTATGAAAAATCTTAAATAATAATAATAATAATAAAAAAGAGAAAACAAAACCATAAAACTACTAGACAAAAACACAAATCATATGTTAGTTTTTTTTTTGTGATTCGCTACTGGATTGTAACGGGTGATCCAAGTAGACATAATTGTATGAATAACTTTTCTTTTGACGGATTATATTATTTTTCTTGTTTATTGTTTGGCATTTTACTAAGAAAAGACGCCTAAAGAACGTTTACAAGTCGTCCCAATTTTCTTACGAAAATGTACGTTCTGTTAGGTATGTGTTTCGTGCACATCTCTCAGGATATATCACTTCGGTAAGGATAAGCATTTCACAGGATCGTGTGGTCTCACATCGTCATACTTTTTTTGTGAAGGCTTAAGTTTATGCCGACAAACTGGCTTCAGTTCAGACTTTGAAGCAAATCACAGACACTTGCGGCGGTACCACCAAATTTCGTCGAATGTTTTGGCAAGCCAATGGCGTGTACCATTTGGAAATGCTCATGAAGAACATCTATAAATGATAGAGCGTACCCAACACCTTGGAGAAGGTCCTCGATCATTATGAATTTTAGAAGCAAGGATGAAATGTTATTACAGGAATGAAAACAACTGCATGAATTATCTAGATTTAGAATTGAAAGTATCACAGTAAACAAAATATCTTAAATGAGTAATTAACAAACTGTTAATTTAAATTTTTTTCTTTGAATTGAGTGGATCCCCACGATATAAATGAAGTGAATTGGACAAATTGGAGTAATTTTTTGTTAAGGTTATACTGTTCCAAAATTGTGCAAGTTTGGGCGGAGGTATTAGATAAGATGGACCTATATGGTCCATCATATTGCAACAAATATTAAGATCTGACATGTGTATACCACACAGGTTTTACTATTCGCTTTACATAAGGTATATGTTTATACCAAAGTTGACCATATATGGGCGGAATCCGAAGAAATTGTCAAATAGATCTTTGGATTAATAGATGTTTGGTAAAATATTATGATGTGCAATCAATGCTTCATATGAAATTTACAAGCTATTGGATTGTTGACCCTTTGTGGAGGAGATAACAGAAGGAGTGGACCGATGGGTAACAGCTTTGGACTTTACCTATGTTTGTTAAAAGTATTACGATAAGCAGAGTTTCGGTCAAATCGGACATTCCATTCTATTTATATTGTATTATTAATATTTCAAAATGTTAAACCTATGTAAGTGAGGTACCAGAGGGGGTGGATCGATTAGTCCCATCTTCGGCATTGATCTAGGCTTGGTAAAAATATCACAATGTGCAAATATTGGATCAAATCGGATATACGGAGTGTTACCAGAAAAGTAAACCGATGGGTCTCATCTTTGGGCTTTATCTGGGTTTGTTAAAATGTGCAGTGTATGGGTCAAATCGAAGACCAGGAGTGGATGCACGGATCAAATCTTGAGACTAGGCTTGGTAAGAATATCACAATGTGCAAAAATTGGGCGATATTTAAAAATTACAAATTTTAAAAATGTTGACTTTTTGTAGGTGAGGAACTAGAATGGGTGGACCGATAAGCTCCATCTTCAAACATTGTACAGGCTTGGTCCAAGTATTAGGTTGTGCAAAATTTGTTTTAAATCGGCAAAATATTTATCATTCATATTCCAAATTGATCGAAAACGGCAGTTTCATTAGAACTCTTTGGAGTTTACAATTCAGATCTACTGAATTTAATGAATCCGATAAAATTTAAACGTACTATAAGTTTGTAAGAAATATTACGGTATGCAAAGTTTGGTGAAATCGGTTACTCCCTCCGAGAGTTATCATTCACAGCAGACAGACACACAATCGGACATTTGTAAATTGATTCCAAATTACCTGAAACGGATTTAGTCCAAAGAAATGAAATATTTCGACAAAGCAAAGTTTTGCCGCAGCAAAGTATATATACCCTCATTAGCCATAAGGCTGAGGGTATATAAATTCTGAAACAAATGGCGAAAATAGTGTTCATTCTCCCCATCTCTGAAACTAATTTAATGTTGGCAACATTTGCACATATTCGATACATTGAAGATTTGACAACGCTTAAAATAATAATGACGGAAGGCAGCACCATCTATTAATAGTTATTTCACTTAATACCTTAATTAAAGCCGATAAAACAGGATATATAAATATCAATTTAATGAGAAGTACTGTGTTATCCCTAGTATAAACTGTATTATCGACATATATTGACTTATCAGAGCATACTTTAGGGGTAAAAAATATTATACATATGTTTCATTTGCAATGCGATAAGCTTACTTTCTCTCCCCCTTCGAATTATTCCGAATCTCATTTCAAGGTTAATTTTTTCGCTTTTGTCTTATTTGAAGGATATTAGAATGTGGTAAATCTTGCAATGTTGGAAAATTTGTTAACTAAATGAAAAGAAAAAGGAGAATGTGATGACAATTTATGCGAGAAATTTCGCAAGTAAATAAAATAAAAAAACAATTGGAAATATTGTTGGCGATGGCGGAATGGAAATAGTATATAAATTACAACTTCTTAGGTCTGGTGTGATCAAAATGATGCCCAAAATCACAAGATGGCGAATGGAACAGGAGGAGAGCCATATCAGGAGTACACGTTTCATATTTTATAACTTATAACTTGGGATTGGTAACCCCAAATAAAAGAGAGAACGAAAATTAACCTCCTGTGTTATGGAATATTATAAACTTGAGAATTTTGAAGACTTCGACCACGAGGAAGCGTTCCAAGAACCCCCCGCCAAAGACATCAAAAAATTATATAAAAAATTCCGCCACTTTCATCGTTATTCAGACATTTTGGGCGAAGGCATATCTCTTCAGAAGAGCATGTTAAATACTATGGAGGAAAAGCGTCATTGGAATGCTTTACCATCTGATTTGCAATGCATCAACAATATAAGTAATTAAAAAAACGGCTTGTACAACATTTTTCATAATTAAAAACGTTAGGTTTGATCGTAGATTCCATTTATTTGATTTACTAATCGTTCTTTTTGTTAACCATTGTAATAGAAACATTTATTTATTTTTTTTTTGTAGTTCAATCATTTTTAATTTATTTCAACTTATGTTTTTAAGCATATATATTCTTTTCCATAATGTATCCATTCTTTTACCACTTTTATAATATCTAAGATACTTATTATTAAAAACCTAATGGAATTGTGATTATATTTATAATCCTTTACTGCCACTTATTAGACTTTTGTCTTTTTGGAAAAACATCAATTAAATTAATAAATAAATAAATAATGCAGCAACTTACAATGAAGGAAGTAGATGTCAAAATAAAAGAATAGGCGGCAGTAACTAATAATATGCATTTTTCCCTATATTATTGCGTATGCTTTGAGCTTTAGATAAATATTAAGGTGTGGCTAACAATGTCACATAATCCCCTGAAGCATAAACAGATAGAATTTGTTGAATACAACCCACTACACCAGGAATATCAGGTTTTTAGTAGAGATTGACAGTAGTAGTTCTTCTTTTTCGCTCTGTTTGGCGGAAATTAGTCCAACTGCTACGCAGATGGTCTTCAAAAATATCAACCACTTCTGCCAAAACATT